GGCATCCATAAGACTCAAGACACGTAATCTCTTAAAGGAACCAATGAATTTGGGGATACGACTCCCTTGAAAATCATTGTAACTAAGGTCCAGATAATTCAAATGCTCCAGTTCAAGTAGAGATGGACTAACCTTGTGGCCTCTCAGCTGTTTATAAATTGGATTGTAATCACTATAATCTGGTAAGTGGGCATGAAGATCAAGCATGGTTACATGACCAGTGCTGTTGTTGCAGTGAACACCCCACCAATTGCAACACTCATTATCATCACTTCCCCAAGAAGACAGAACTCCATACTCATCCAGAAGGCCTTGTTTGAAATCCAGAAGAGCAAGCCTCTCCCTCTCAATACACCTTATCATGTTGTTTTTCGCTGCAACTCTTTTTGTGAAAGCACAAGAAGAAGAAGAAGAAAACAAGCAAACAAAAACGAAAAAGTAAAGAAAGGGGGGAAGTAGCGTAGTAGTAGTAGTAAACAACATTCTGATAGCAGCACAATAAGGTTGTAGGAATATTGGTTTTGAGAGCATGATGGATGGATAGATGCTTTATGAAATCTTTCAATGGGAGGGAGAACTGAACAACCAAACTAACTCTAATATATATACTGTAATTTCGACAGCATTTTGTTGGATTCAAGGACAACTCATTAATGAAAATGTGTGGATTTATAAATTAATTAATAATTCTGTATGTTTAATTTAAGGGAAAATTTCAATTTTGATCCACTGACTATTACGTTTGTCTTAATTGCAACACTTAACTATTAAAAATGTTAATTTAGTAATTTGACTATAAAATTTTTATCAATTTTGGTCACGCCGGCCAAATTACCGACGGTCGAAAAATTTTAATACTTAGAATAGTGAGGATATTTTAGTCTTTTTGCATCTCCTTTCCTCCTCTCCATTCCTTGGTCGATCTACTGCAATCGATCTTCATTTTTGCAGCAAATAACAGACCATGATCTCATGATGGCCATGGATTTCCATTCCCAAATGAAAACTATTAACAAATAATTAATTAGCAACCAGTAAATATCATCCCTTTCATGCTATTGACGACGTAATGTAATCCCTCACTTCCTTGCCAATCACATTTTCCATGGCATCCCGAAACAGCGCCGGCAAGTTCTCAGCCGACCTCAAGTGACCGCCCAATCCCGGAGACGCCATCACAATTTCTGTTACCAGTGTTCACTCTCGGACTCTCACTGTCCGTTCCGATGATTTTTCCATCTTGAATTCTGTAGATCTGGATGAGTTAACGTCCGCCGCAGTCATTGGAATATCAGACGGTTGAGGTCGTTTTTGCTGTTGTTGGTGTCTTGGCGGCGTTGTCGGTGCGTCCGGGAGCAATCGCGCACTGGTGGCTCATAGGTTGCCGTACCGCGAATGGGCGGCCAAGATGGCCTCATCCTTCGCCTGATTCCCGCCAGCGGAAAACGACGATCCAGAAGAACACGAATCCGACGACATAGATCGAAAGCATACTATTAAGGCGACATTCTTCTTAAAGCTATCTGCGTTTTTTTAAAGCTATACTGTTCAAGCGACCTTCTTCTTCGGCGAATTTGCAGAAGATCCGATCGAAGGAATGGGAAAGAAAGAAAAAGAGATGTAAAAGACTAAAATATCCTTACTATTTTAAGTTTTAAAATTTTCCGGTCACATTTGGCCGGTAATTTGGCCGGCGTGATCAAAATTGATAAGAATTACATAGTCAAGGTACTAATTAACATTTTTGATAGTCAAGTGTTGCAATTAACACAAACGCAATAGTCAGTGGACTAAAATTGAAATTTTGTCTTAATTTAATACAATTTTTATTTGAATTTAATTAATAAAATATTTTATAATATTTTAAAAATTTAAATAAGTCTACATCCACAAATCTTGATTTAAAAAAATAAAAAATTAAAATTGAACAATGATGTTTTAAGAGTTTGGTTAGAGTTGGTGGCCGGAACTAGTGGAGTTTTTGAAAATTAGAAAATTTCTTGAAAAGACGATGAACACATACTATAGATAAATAGCAGACATAGACTTGACTCAATAATGGAAGGCGAATGAGCACGATAATGAATGACAGACAATCGTTACACCCTGCACCACAGCGCACATAGCACTGTGTGCCCTGTGCCTCCCAAAACAGCGTCGTTTTGAAGGCATGGTAGGGGTTGACATGATTATGTGTATTTATTTATACGATTATATGTATTTTTTATATAATTATGTGTGTTTGTTTATATAATTATGTGTATTTATTTATACGACTATGTATAATTTTTTATACAATTATGTAAAACGACGTTGTTTTGCATCAGAGCGCACAATGCAATGCGCGCCCTGATGCACGATATAATTTCCAATGACAGATGAGTGGCAGGCAAAGACTTGACTTAAATCATTATGGACTAATTTTACATGAATATACTTTCTTTTTGTTTGGTTGAAAGGAAAAAAAAGTATTGCAAGACAAAATTTGGTGGGTCAACCCCTAACTTCCCCACTGATGCAGAAGTGGGATATGTGAAAGTTATATTCAAAGCATAATACTGTACTATTAAAGAGAAAATTTTATTTTTTATTCATTAATTATTGTGCATTGTAATATTTAGTTATGTTTTTTTTTTTTTTTTAATGCTACTGGCTCTGATCTATTACAATATAGTATCTGTTCATATTTAGTCACATTTTTTTTTTTAATTTTATCACATTTAATAATGATGGCCAATATACCTCACTTACCTTGAATTGCATTCGGTAACCGATTGCAAGATTTCTATCGATCAAATCTGAGCGGAATTAATACGATATGATTGACCCCCGACTGACATTAGACAGGAAAGTTTACAATTCTGATTGGGAAAAAAGAGAAATAAGCATCTGTAGGCCGTACAGTGACAATAATTCGAGCAGGAATTAAAGCACTGTCACATCATATACATGTGGATTATATTGTCAGCTTCATATGGAAACCTCGCCGTAGAAAAATAGGCGCAGAATCCACTTTAATTTGGCACGTGGCAAACATGCCGAGAGCCCGGCATGTGCCCGGTGCCCCCATCTTTGCTTATATAAGGCACATTTAAATGCTCTTGAGGGGGGATTTTGAAACACTATATTCTACAAACTTATGCTCGGAACTGTCCGGTTAGACACAACCGTTTGACCATAAATTGTATATTAGGTCTGAGTAACCCGATACGCGTAATGTATCAAATAAAATGATTAATTAATATGAAATTTCATCATTTAATTAAACAAGTTTATAAGAATGGGAGAAAAATTACATATTGAAGTAAGTGGCTTGAATGATAAAATTACATGTTAGTCATTTTTATTAAGCGGATAGAGGTCAACGATGTAATGAAACAAAATTAAAAGAATAAAGCTAAGTATGACGATGCCATAATAGTTGGAGACTAAAAGTAAAATTTATTGTAATATTAAATATTTAAAAGAATAGTATATTGGAGTTCAACCTCTGCTCTAAGCTAAGCCTCCCTCCACCCAACAGTCTTTTTCTAATATGATCCTTTTTACAGTCAACATTCAACTTTTGAGTTAATTTGTAGAAATTAGGATGGAAAAAATAATTCCCCACCAACATTTTATTTTATTTTTATTTTAAATTTTGTGGTTAAAAAATCACTCATTGCAACAATGAAACAATGTAAAATTAAAGAAAGAGTTTTCAATGCTGAGAAACATGTACACCAAATTAAAGATTGAGTGTCATTTTAAGTTCTTGATACTGGCTTAATTAAGGACTAACAACAGTAGTAATTTCTCCGAAAATTATATATAATATAACTGTAAAATTTTACAAATGTTATGTTAATGGACAAAAGAATGAGATAAAATTTGATGTAATATGTTTGGTTTAAAGTATATAAATAAAGTAATAATGAGTACGGTCAACATCTTTTGGTTGAGATTATGTGAATTTAAAAATATATAAGTTAGAAGATTACAAAAGTTTGTACGAAGTTGGGATATAACACTCGTTTAATATCAATCATTAGTTGATGAATGATAATAAACATGTTAAACTAGAAAAATAGTTTGTAACTAAATTGAGATTTTAGGTGAGTCTGTGGGGAGGGAATGCTGTACAAAATATTGTATTCAATTTTAAGCGACATGCAGGTAGTGATACTAGTGAATAGATGAATATAATAGTCAATCACAATCTATATATGTTAATCACATGGAAGGTAATTCTCATAATGGGCATAGAGATATATCATATATATATCATGAGAATATTTAAGCAACAAGTAAAACAAAGAGAATAATAATCAAAGGTAAAAGAGAGATTTATACTAGTTCGAAACTTGTATAGATACTATGAGATATTTTAGGATTGGGGATCATATAAATAACTTACGTAGTTGTGGCTAAGAGAGATGTTGCAATTGTGCCAAGGTTACTTTAATTTCATAGTTATTGGTCTAATGGCTAGCTAGCCAGCCAAGTAGTTCTGGTCGAATTCCAATTTTATGGTAGTTCATTCATAATTTGGATAATTTGTCGAACACATAGAATATAGGTACTATCGATCTCTTCCTTTTATAAGACAAGTTTAATGTTGTGAGTAATGTAACTTAGGTGTAACACATTCTCATGATATTCACATAATATAATCCATGGACTAAAGCATACCTATGGTTAGGTTACATTATAGTTTAATGATGAGAATGCTAAACACATAGTTCATAATAGGGGTTCCTTTATGCAAACAATCTAATCAAAACATCTAGAGGGAAGAGCAAGTTTAAACTATGAAACATAAGGATAATGAAAGCCATAAAAGAAATAACAAGAATTGGATGAACTGAAGGTAAGTACTTAGCTTTAATTTGTAAGAAATTAAAGATTACAATATCCAAACTATTTAGGAAATGAAGATTAAAAGTGCCAATAATCTAGACATATTCTTAGTAGGGAAAAGTCAAGAGGATGAAAAATGCTCTCCAAAGTATATTCAAAGATTCATAAAATGATAAATAACTTTTTATTTAAACTAAATTTAGACGTAACCACAACTTCCTACCATGCTTGTAGTGGGAAGAGTAGTTGTTCTTTGCCCATCAATTTCAATTTTCAAACTATTTTTGATTCAGATAACATCTAAATAATGATTTATAGTTTACTTGGTTATTGTAGTTCTCTGAGTTTTATTTCCAATGCTATTGGAATATCTCAAATTTAAACATTTCTATATTGAGATATGACCAAAACACCGCGAATACACTTAATAACCACGACCTCGTGGTTTGCAAAGGTGGTGACCACAACTGCATGCATGGTGGAAGCCATGGAACCTGGTTCTTGAATTGCCCCAAACTCCTTTTCTCCGATGCCTTAAAGATTGCCTCTTCTATCATAGGCACTCTAGGAAATTAAGAAAAACATATTTGAAAATAGGTGAAATAATGTAGTTTCTTAACAGAATTGTAAATGCAGAACAATCAAACACAATAACATTAGCACTTAGAATGAAGAAGATGATGATAATACATTATCTTAGAATATGAGAAAGGGATTCTAGTAACATATATACATAGAAATTATTGAAAAATCAGATACAAACTTGTTTCTACAAAACAACTGGAGGAAAGAAAGGTACATAGCTTCAAACAGAGTGCTCCATCCAAATGGTGTGTGATGCTGCACATATTATTCATCCCCAGTTTGCACATAATCAATCTGTTTCAAGTATGTCAAATTCATGCAAAAACATGATCATAATTGAAACATGTGCTCCATCTCGACTAAAAGCCTAAGTTGATAGTTGGATACACATCACATTAATGGATATATAAACCGTAGTCGCTTACGAGTAACATTGAGATTCGAAGACTCTGATACCAAATTGAAACATGTGCTCCATCTCAACTAAAAACCTAAACTGATAGTTGGATACACATTAATGGATATATGCTCACAATCATCAATTCAATAATCACCATACAAAATGAAAGGGCAAGTTTAACAATTTCATAGTTTAAAAGACACTCATTCACCAAAATAAAATAATACACTAGCGGAGTAATTATACCTATTGTCACTCATTCATTGAATCATCTTGTGCACCTAAGCTTTTGTTGTAGCCTGCCCAAATATATTTTCACTTTCACGTAGAGCCAATCTTTGACATCATTCAAGAACTCATAGTAGGCAGTTCTCCATGAGTTTTTGAGCACCAAAGTGACCACAATTCCCCAAAAGCTAAGAGAAAACCCCATCACCATTGATATGTAAAACCCCCGGTCTAGAAAAGTATCACCTTCTTGGTAGTCATTGATTTTACGTTGGGGAGGAACATCGACTGAACATTTGGGAAATGGGTCTGATAAACATTATTTTGGTTGTTATTTTTAATAATCTTTTTATAGTTAATATACAATAATTGATTAATTTTATATCTATTTTTATTTATTATTGTTTTTAATAGCTTTGTTAATATTTTCTATTTTTAGGTTGTTTTTATTAGGGAAAATGGCACTTTTTCCCCCTGAGTTATATACTTATAGCACTTTTCTCCCCTGAATTATTTAAGTGGCTCTTTTCCCCCTAAAATGTTAAATGGACATATTCACCCTTAAAATAAATATTTAAAATAAATATTTCATTTATTTTTCTTCTCCAACAAATTATTACTATAATTTGGTTCAAACCAAACAGATATTATAGCAACCAAACCAAAATATTCCAATTACAATTTAGAATCAAAACGCGATATTTAGAGTTTATTAAAATCACAAATCGAAATGATCGGTTCATGTTCCGAACTGAAAAAATAAAATACATTTATTGTTGAATTTAGACTATTTTAAAATAAAAAATAAAATAAAATTTAAAATAAAGACGGTTCAAAATCACAAACCGGATTCGAAACCGCCGGTTCACGGTTCATGATCCAGTTTTTTTGGTTCATAAATTTAATAAATTGAAATCTAAATATTGGATTCTACATCTGAATCATAACCGGAAACTTTTAATTCGATTGCTATAGTGTCTGGTTCAGTTCGAACCGAACCGTGGTCATTGCTACATATACACAATAATTTGTTGGAGAAGTAAAATAAATAAAATATTTACTTTAAGGGTAGAAATGTCAATTTAATATATCAGGGGGAAAAACCACCACTTTTAAAATAATTGAGGGGGCTAATGTGCTTACATAAATAATTGAGGGGGAAAAAGTGCTATAAGTATATAACTTAGGGGGAAAAAGTGCCATTTTCCCTTTTTATTATTATATTTGTTTATTATTTGATTTCTGTTGATCCAATAATTCTTGATCCTAATTTCATAATAATAATAATAGTTGTAGTAGTATATGGTCAGCATGAGTTTTAATAAATGTAGATTAGTTATATATGGTTTCTAATAAGTTTATTATTATTATTATTATTATTATTATTATTATTATTATTATTATTATTATTATTATTATTATTATTATTATGGTTGTAGTTTTAAGTTAATAATAAAAGTGTAGCTAGTAGTTAAATAAGGATTGTAATTTATTTAAGCTTTTAATTTTAATTTATTTAACTAAAGAATAAGTCATTGTGCGGTGAACAAAAAGAGCCGAATGGAGAGGATGATTCGCAGAAGAACTAGAACTCGGGCAGCGGCTTGGTCATCTTGGCGATCCGATTGAATCGAAGAAATTGTGGCTGGGCTTGGAGAGGCGATGGAGGTTAGACAGTATAAAAGGGACGCTGATTCATTCTCCTGAACATGAAATCTGGCCCCGGACCAATTCCGGAGGCGATCCACATCAATCTCCCCGGAGCAACTCCGGTCCGTAGGGCGGCGATCTCCGGCGGCAACGTTGGCATTCTTCGGTAGCAACCAGCCCTTGGGCGGTGGTGATTTCCGACCCGCGGTGGCATCAGTTTGGTTCAACGTTTGGCAACAACTCTCGTTCTTCCTGGTTTTTCCCTTTGTTTATACTTTCATTCTCTAATTAGCAGTAGCAGTTCTCTGGTTTTCTTCCTCTTAAATCTTCACTTGTCATTTATAAATTCTTTACTTTCAACTTTGTGAGTGGTGTACGTACTGTGCTTGTCGTAACAATGTTAAATTGGTTTGCAATTAATTTTGAAATGCTTTTGATATTATTAGGAACAAGATGATTTTAATTTCATTCACACTATTTGTTAGTAGATTTAAATTAATTGTTGATCTTGAATGAGCCAGTGCTATGTTTCTGTTATTATTATCTTGATTTTGATTTTCAAATATTCCACTTGTTAATTAGTTTATAATACTTTTGAAGCTGAACTATTGAAGCTGATAAGTTAATTGTTTTAATTTCAAGTCAATTACTTCTTAAGTTGTTAAATTGCATCGTACAATTTCCTGTGGGATCGACCCTTGCTTTTGCACGCTATTACTACCGTGACTCGTGCACTTGCGAGGACATAAAAATTGTCCATCAGGGTCCCCACATAGTCCAAAATTTCCCGCATAAGAAGAAACATTGAAGCTTTGCAATTGAGTGCTAGTTGGGATTTTGCCCGACAAGAAGTTGTTTGACAAATCAAGAACATCAAGATAATTCAAACGAGCTAGGCCAATTGGAATTTCACCTGAGAGTTGATTCTGAGATAGATCAAGGACCTCTAAATTTTCCATCTGATAAATTGTCAGAAAGATTATTCCCGTCAAATGGTTATTTGAAAGGTTTAACAAAATTAATCCATTGAGAGTAGAAAGTTCCTCAGGAATATCTCCAATCAGTTGATTGCTTGAAAGATCAATGGCTTTTAGGAGTCCCAATTGCTTCCTATATTCCCACTCTTGATTTTTCCATTGAATCAAAATATTGTCTATATAGTAACCATTTCCTCTTATAATAAATGTACTGCTCCACACTATATTTTGCATAGTACTTCCAACAGAACTGTTGGCTTGCATCAAATAAGTAAAATTGTTGAAGCACGGTGGAATTTTTCCTGTCAATTTGTTTTTGGAAAGATCCAAGATGTGTATGTTTTTGAGATGGCAAATACTTGAAGGCACGTTCCCGTAGAACTTGTTATGTCGAAGGCTAACAATGAGCAAACTTTTCAAAGATCTCCCAATCCATGATGGAATTCTTCCTATAAACTTATTTCCTCTAAAATCAACAACACTCAATGATGTGCAATTTTGAAGTGAGGAAGGCAACTCCCCATTAAGGTTGTTGTTTCGCAAGTGCAATGACTCAAGTCTTAATAGCTGGGAGCCTAAAGAGTGTGGAACCTTCCCTGAGAAACGGTTATTTGCAAGGTTGAGAACAAACAAATGAAAAACAAAACTCTTATTCCAACAATCAGGAATCTCAGCAGAGAGTTGATTATATGAAAGATCAATAGAAGAAGTAGCCGAGCTAATTGAGCATAAGAAGGAAATTGACCCAACAAACTTATTATTTGAGAGATGAAGTATTGAAGCTTCTTGAGGATTTATGAGTAAATTGACCCAAAAAAGTTTATATTATATTGACCTTTTTTTTTTTTTTTTTTTTTTTTGAAAATTTCAACAATGAAGTTTTAAGAGTGGATGCCCGGGACTAAAGGGTGTTAGGAAATTAAGAAATTTAATAGAAAGAGACTAAACACGATAATACAATAATGACAAGATAAGTGATTGATAAAGACTTGACTCAATAATCTTTGTAAGAAGTATTAAACAAATGTATCAATAACCTCAATATTGGTTGAACTCACTGGGGCTTTTCTATCTCTCTCTCTATATATATATAGTACAGTACTTACAATTAGTATAGTAGCATTTTTTTTGTTTGAATTGGTAGAATTTTTAAAGAATAAAATGATTTATTTTAAATTAAATCATTATAGTAAAATGAGTCTAAAATTATTATTGTTGTTATAATAATAATAATAATAATAATAATTATTATTATTATTATTATTATTATTATTTATAGACAGAAAATGCAAATTACTCTTAATTTTACCATCACAAACCAAAAACTCCATGATGTGGCAAAATTATAGATATTTTTTTTAAAAATTTTAATTTTACTAATGTCTAGGAATTCCCACATCATGCAATTGAATCATGTCTAAAATGAACATGTATGATGTATATTAGTTGTTCATATTGTAATGTGCACTACTGGAAATTCTGAAATTTCCGACCACCTGAAAATGATCTTAAATTAAGTTGATACTAAAAAATCCAAAAAGTGGTCGAAAATAGCAACAAAGGTTTTTCCAGATACCAAAAGTGGTCGGAACAAGACTTTCAACTTGATTTATGATCACTTTCAGGTGGTCGGAAATTTCAGAATTTCCAGTAGTGGTGGACCATGATTCATTGTATAATAATTACATAAAAATGGTATGGGCTTAATATGTGGACCTTAATTATGTACTTGTAAATAAACTAGAGGTACATAATATGTTAATTGAAATATGTACATAATTTATTAACTGAAAGTTCATAATATGTTAATTACATATACATAATATATTAATTGTAATGTGTATGTAATTTATTAACGACAAGTACATAATATATATATTAATTGTAATAGATACATAATTTTATAACTGAAAGTACATAATATTTTAATTACAAGTACATCATATCATCTGAATTATATTTTGAACTAAGATTCACAATACAAAGTCGACCTTGATCCAGGGTATAATAATTGATATAAACATGACTAATCTTGATGTGGGAATGTGAGATGACCTATTGGACAAAGTATTTTAAATATGATTTAGTCATTATCTACTTTAGACTACTTTGTTGAACACCAATAATTATATCGTGGACTACGTACATGTTGCTACATGCATTCAACACACCAATGTTTTTTCCTTAAATTTATTTATTTTTTGTATAAATAAAATTAATATATAAAAAATATATCATTAAAAAATTGTAAATCACTCTCATGACTTTTGTTATAAAATATTTAAGTGTTTGGACATGTCCTAAGGTAATTTGTCTTGAATTTAGGGTTGATAGCTAATTTAGGGAAGTTACAACAAACTCCATGTGTCTTCCAAGCTAAATGGTAACTTTGTCATCCTAAGAGTACGCCGTCCGACCTAAACTTCTTTCAATTGTTATTGTATGGACCATGGTTCATATTGAATTGTAAACCATGGTAAAAAAATTATGTATTTACCGTTAATATATTTTGTATCTTCAATTAATACATTTTGTACTTTAAACAAATTGAAGGCAAATAACATAATAACTACAGACACATAAATTGTTAATTGCAAGTACCGAATATATTAATCGTAGACACATAGTATGTTGGTTAACATGTTATGTGTCTACCGTTAATATATTTTGTATATATATATGCAGTTAACAGTTTATGTGTCTATGATTATTATGTTATATGTCTGTAATTACCATGTAATGTGCTTCCAATTTATTTACAGATAAAAAATGGTTAACGTACGTACATAATGTGTCAATTGTATGCACCTAATAAAATAAAATAAAAATTAAACAAATTGTGAATATTAAGTATATAAATTGTGAATTTTTGAATTCGAATCCATCTTACAAAGTGGAGCCGAGTCCACAGAATAATTTGCCTTAAATTATATTGTGGACTATGGTGTCAAATACAAGATGAAAGACTAAAAAATATTTTTTTTTTTTATCAAAAGGAAGGGGAACACCCTCAATACGAACTAATTAATTAACTACAAGTAGTCCAGTTGATGCCATACTGGCACTCCAAACTGGTCCTCCTCTACAACTCTGCGCAGTTCTTTATTAGGTGAATCCACAATGATAGTTCTGTGAAGGCCGGCATGGTTCTTCGCCAAAAGATGGGCTGCTTGGTTTTGTTCCCTGGAGACGACTGGCCAATGTTTTCCAGCTCTCTTCTGCAAGCAGTAAGAATATAATATTCTCTGCTATATTGCTTACCTTAGCTCTTCTATTAATAGCCTGGCCTCCACAATACTTCTAGAGTCACTTTCGGAACAAGTTCTCCTACTGCCAATTGTTTTAGCAAACTGAATTCCCTTAAATAGAGCCCAAACCTCGGCCACTTCTATCTTACCCCTGGTAGCCAGTAATCCACGACCGGTGCATACAATTCTGGCGGGGTAAGTAGATTGTCCACACACTAGCTCTTAGCTAGGGCAATTAGCTCTCAGTCTGACTCTCAATTTTGGGACCGCGTCTCACTCAATTGTATTCAATATTTTTTCACATTAGCATCTAATAAGAGACATTGTCAATAAATAAATAAATACTCCGTAAACCTTAACACCATGGAATAAACATTTGCAAAGCATTTAATATCAAACCTGGGTTGAAGCAAACTTTTGTGTAGATCGAATGGAGTCAAAAGCAAATTTCATGAAGTCTCACAATTTTACCTAATATCTTTATAAAGAGGATTAATAACTAATCACTAGGTTGATCAAATAGAATCTCTTTGATCTCAATTAAAAACTCCAAAAGTTACATTAAAGATTTATGAGTTCTATGGAACAATTTGACTCAAATGATGATTTCATCTTATCTCCAGAATTGCATTCTACCTCTTCTAAATGTGTGAGATTTACACATATAGAGAATATCTCTTTCACAAGTATATGTATCAAACATAAATTTAATAAGCTTGCAATTATTAATCTAATAACCATAAAGAACACGATTGAATAAAAAATAATTGTATTAAGGCAATAAAACAATTACGAACAATGTCTCAACATAGGGCGCTTATCATAAATTCAAGTATTGCAAAATTAGCATCTAAACATTGAAGCAAAAACAAAAGAGATAAAATAAACAACAAAGAAATTGATGATTTTTTTTTTTTTTTTTTTGGTGAGATTGACCCGTGTATCACGGGGAAAACAAAAACAAAGTTACCAAACTCTAATCGAGCTAGCTCCGAATGCATTCACTGCTAGGAGCCTATCTAAGCTTGCTGGTGGTTCTTCGAGGCAGGATGTGCCCCACTCGCTATGTTGCCCAATGTTCGTCAAGTGGTCGCACACTTATTACCCTCTCTTAACATGTGTTAAAAGGCAATATTATCAAACTGATTCGCAAGAAATTTACAGTCTCTGACAAGCGTCGATGATGCCTCATGAATCTCCTCTTTCCCTTTCATTACCATGATGACAACTTCTGAATTAAGTTCGAAGATAACCCTCTCCAACCCCTTAGCCTTTGTCAGCCATAGACCCTCCCTTAGGCCCCATAGCTCCGCGGCAAAGCTATTAGAAGTCCCCATTTTAGTTGTGAAACCAAAGAGCAAGACCCCTTGATGGTTTCGAGCCAACCCACCGGCACTAGCAAGACCCAAACCCCTTTTAAAGGCACCATCAGTGTTGATTTTTATCCATCCAATGTCTGGTGGATCCCAGAAAACCCAACGCATTTTCCCCACCGTTTTGGAGGTGTGAGGATTGTCCATTTCCATCGTTATTCTGGAGAGATCAGTTACAGCCACAATCGGAGAGGATATGCATGGTGGTTTCCTCGTCCTCGCCACAACCCGTACAGCTGCAGTCCTCCGTTAAGCCTCTTCTGTATCTCAACACTTTGAACACAAGAAGTTATAGAGAGTCATCTTAGCTTTCCATTGACACTCTAATCATCTCAATCAGACTTTGTATGAAAGAGATATGATCAAAATACTATCAAGTATGTCGCAAGGCCGTATCCATTCGCCTGTCATAATTTGTCCACAGTTTTGATCCTAATTTGTCCCAAATCTTTGAAATCTATGAACATAAAAGTCACAAGAGATTGTCTTAGTTTTTCATGGACACACAAATCACTTCAATTGAATTTTATATGAGTGAAATATAGCCAAAATACTTACTACATCTCACAAATTGCATATTTTGTCATTTTTGTTCAGAAATTCCTAAAAAAACAAATATTAATGAATTAAAGACTATATTCAATAAATAAACAAGATACATACAAAATCATCATAAATATGATATTAGAAATAATTGTAATTAAGTACTTATCTAATATTCGATTGGCTGGTCTCCACCTTCTCTTGACCATATGAATTATGTTGGTGTGTCACATTTTTGGTTTATGTGACTTGCCTTCTGTTTTCTTTACCATGATCGAAAAAAGAAAAAAAAACAAAAAACAAAAAAACAAAAGAAGAAGAAGAAGAAAGAAGTAGAAGAAAAAAGACATGCTTGAAAGATGGAAAATTAAAAATTAATTCCAAACATATCACAGGATTTGAACTTCAGGAATTAGAATGATGAAGATGATGACAAAATATATATTATTAAATCAGAATACGAAAAATAGATAGTATTTTAGTAACATAAATAGGATTTATTGAAAATATAAATACAAACTTTTGTGTTTTCCCTCTAAATCAAATGCAGGAAACATACAGATCTTCAAACAGAGTGAGTGCTCAATACAAATTCTTCATTCCCAATTTGCACATAATCAATCTGTGTCAATTATATCAGATTAGTAGAGGCCAAAACTTGTACGATACAAAATTAAAAGGGCAAGTTAAAAGATATTGTTTCACCAAAAGGAGACCAAAAATGAAATAATACAATAGTGGGGACAATTATACCTTTTATTGCTTCATCAAATCATCATATGCGTCTAAGCTTTCTTTGCATCCTGACCGAATAGATCTTCATTTTCACATAGAGCCAATCTTTGACATCATTCAAAAATTTATAGTATGCAATTCTCCAAGAGTCTTTTACCACTAAAGTGATTACAATTCCCCAGAAGAAAAGAGAGAACCCTAGCACCATAGATATGTAAAACTCTTGATTTAGAAAACTATCATCTTCTTGAAAGTCATTGTCTTTGTTTTGTGGAGGAACATATGAAGAACATTTGGGAAGTGGGTCTCCGCACAATCCAATATTTTCGGCATAGGAAGAAGCATCGAAACTTTGCAGCTGAGTGCCCGTGGGGATTTTGCCCGATAGAAAGTTGCTCGACAAGTCAAGAACATCAAGATAATTCAGACGAGCAAGACCTATTGGAATTTCACCAGAGAGTTGATTCCTAGAAAGATCAAGGACTTCCAAATTTTCCAGCTGATAGATTGTCGGAAATATTTTTCCAATCAAATGATTTTTTGAGAGGTTCAAGGAAATTAATCCTTTGAGAGAAGAAAGTTCCTCAGGAATATGTCCAATCAATTGATTACTTGAAAGATCAATGCTTTTTAAGAGTCCCAATTGCTTCCTATATTCTCTTTCTTGGTTTTTCCACTGAATCAAAATATTGTCTATATAGGAACCAAATTTTCCATAGGAAGTAGTAGAATTAAGAAATTGTATAGTATTTCCAATTGATCTACTACTTTTCATCATGTAAGTGAAATTGTAGAAGCAATGTGGAATTTTCGCGGTCAATATGTTTTCAGAAAGATTCAAGATTTGGATGCTATTAAGATGACAAATACTTGAAGGCACTTCCCCATAAAAATTGTTATGCCGGAGACTAACAGTAAGCAAATCTGTCAAAGAACCTCCAATCCATGATGGAATTTTACCCGTAAACTCATTTCCACCAAAGTCCATAACCCTCAATAATGTGCAATTTTGCAATGAGGAAGGTAATTCTCCAGTAAATTTGTTATTTCGCAAGTGCAATGATTGAAGAGTATATAGGGAGCCTAAAGAATGTGGTACCTTCCCAGAGAAATTATTATTCGCAAGGTTAAGAATAGCTAAATTTAAACGGCTGTTATTCCAACAATTAGGAATCTCACCGTAGAATTGATTATATGAAAGGTCAATAGAAGTAGTACCGGAGTTAATAATTGAACATAAGAAAGAAATTAACCCAAGAAACTTATTACTTGATAAGTGAAGTATAGAAATTTTTTTGGAATTTATAGATATTGGGCCCCAAAAATTATTAGAACTCAAATCTATGACTTGAAGAAAAGACTCATTTTGTAAATAAGGCAATCTCCCACCAATCTCGTTGTATGACAAATTCAAGTAGTCGTAACCCTTGGAGAAATTCCAAAACCAATTGGGTATTATATCAGAAATATCACTTGAAGAAATATCAAGTTCAACTATTTTGTTTTGAGTGTGCAACCATTTTGGAAATTGAGGCCCCATTTTACAATTTGCTAATAATAAGCGGTAAAGTTGAAAAGGAGGAACCCAATTACTACTCATATTGAAAGACATGGCTACATTAAAGGACAAATCTAACTCTTGAAGATGGGTAAGATTTGAAAAGTGGGCTTCAGTTACAACTCCTTCCAATGAATTTGATGAGGCATACAACTTATTAAGCTTTGATAGCTTCCCTATAGTTTCTGGTAAACCCCCTTGTAATTGATTTTCAGAAAGATGTAGCACTCTTAAGGACAAAGCATGTGATAGATCAGGAATTTGTCCTCTAATTTGGTTATTGGACAAATCTAAATATTCAAGACTTGAAGGTAGTCTGAAGTTTGATCCATTTAGCTGGTTTAAAGGTGCGCGCAATTCTCTCAAAGATTTAAATCTGGTGTTGATGATATCTGCAGGAAGTTCACCAGTGAATTGATTCCCAGATAAGTCTAAGATTTGTAGAGACTTCCCTGCATCCTTGAGCCACTTTTGGAAAACTTCAGCAATTGATGCCCCACTTAATTGATAATTACAACACAGAGATAAAATTCGTAGATGAGTTAAATTCCAAAAATATTTTGGAATTCCAGCATCCTCCGTGATAATATGATCAAGATAAAGGTTCTCAAAAATTTCCATATCTACAAATGCATGATCAAGAATGGTATCTACAAAGTAACTTCCTGAGAGGCCGATGGTAGTGAGTTTTTTGCTTGCATTGCGCAACAAGTGGAATACCAAAGAAGCATTGATATTGTTGTAAGAAAAATCAACAACGGAAAGAAATGGAGAAGAAGAATTAAGCAAGAAAGGCAAAGACACATCGAGTCCGCAGAATGGCAACTGTAATTCCTCAAGGAAAGGAGGGAGGGTGACTCTGGTTTTTGATGACTCAATGTCAACACCACTGAGATAAATGGACCTTAGAGAGGAAAGAAGAGAGAGCCACTCAAGATTTTTTATTTTCAAATTAAAATAATCTACAGAAATATTTAGAACTTGAAGATTGGTAAGGTTCCCAAGTTGCGGAGGAATTGTTCCAGTGAAGCCGGCATACATAAGACTCAAGACACGTAATCTCTTAAAGGAACCAATGAATTCAGGGATACGACTCCCTTGGAAATCATTGTAACTCAGGTCCAGATAATTCAAATGCTTCAGTTCAAGTAGAGATGGACTAACCTTGTGGAAACTCAGATATGAATTAATATTATAGGAATTGAGATCAAGCATGGTTACATGACCGGTGTTGTTGTTGCAGTGAACACCCAACCAATTGCAACATTCTTCATCACTTCCCCAAGAAGACAGAACTCCATAGTTATCCACAAGGCCTTGTTTGAAATCCAGAAGAGCAAGCCTCTCCCTCTCAATACACCTTATCACGTTGTTTTTCGCTGCAACTCTTTCTGTGAAAGCACAAGAAGAAGAAGACAAGCAAACAAACACGAAAAGGTAAAGAAAGGGGGGAAGTAGCGTAGGAGTAGTAGTAAACAACATTCTGATAGCAGCACAACAAGGTTGTATGATTGTAGTAAAATCATTAATGAAAATGAGTGGATTTATAAATTAATTTGTAATTCTGTATGCTTAATTTAATACAATTTTTATTTGAATTTAATTAATAAAATAGTTTATAATATTTTTTTTTTGAAGAAAATAGTTTATAATATTCTAAAAATTAAATAAGTCTACATTCAAAAATCTTGATTTTTTCTTTAAATTTTCAACATGATGTTTTAAGAGTTTGGTCACAGTTGGCGGCCAGGAGTAGGATAGATAAATTATACAATCATTATTGTGTGGACTATGGTCCACACAAGTTATGTGGATCATATTTTGTATACTATAAAACAAATAATATACACAAATAATATACTTTTAGTATATTAAAAATGTACATTGTATTCAGAGAAAGTAAATTATTTGAATACTAAAAGTACATTATTTTATATAATGTAAATTCAGTACACAAATAATATACTTTAGTTTATTAAAAATGTATTTTCTTTTATGGCCCATACAACACTATGTGGACCATGGTCCATACAAATAATTTGCCCCCAACCTTCATTCAATTGATGTTACACCATGGATCGGACCATAGTTCATATTGCATTGTGAACTTTGATCCAAAAATTATGTATTTGCAGTTAATACATTTTGTATTTGTAAACTAATTGAAGATACATAACATGATAATTATAGACACATAACATAACTACAAACACATAAATTGTTAATTGTCGGTACATAATATGTTAACTGTAGACGCATAGGATATTGGTTAACATGTTATGTGTCTGTAGTTAATATATTATGTGTTTATAGTTATCATGTTATATGTATGTAATTACAATATAATGTGTCTTCAATTTAATTACAAGTACATAAACAATTAATTGTATGCAGTACAAAGTGTGTTAACTATATATACAGAATCTGAAGATTATTTTTAAATCAAGATCCACGAAGCAAATTAGCTAGACCCAAGTACATGGTATAATTTGTCAACTTTTTTGCAATTGTGCTTAAACAACTTAAGTATATCCAATCGTGATTGGCTCCAGCTTGGACTATTGTTCTATTGTCAACCTCAAGGGTTTATGATTTACTGAGAAGTGTCTTTATTTTGGCTTTGATATAGGACAGGAGAGAAATCCTAATGGATCTAAATGGATCTAAATGGTCCAGTTAGTTCATGAATAAATTTCTTCGCAAATAAATGGTGTATCCACATGGAAGACTTGACTTGGTGGTATGTATATATATTCACAATTTCACACGTATAGTAGGTGGAAATTTGAAAAAAGAAAATAATTATTCTCTCAAAACATTCAACCCACATGCTAGAAAATGTTTTTTTTTTTTTTTTAATATACTCCTTTTCACACCTCATTCACAAAGGCGGATTCAAAAAATTATTTGAGTGGGGCAAAGTTCAAATGAATTTAGGGCGTGTTTGGTTCGCACATGGGAATCGAAATCGGAATGGGTATCAAATACTTGGTAATGGTAATGGGTTTTGGTGAAAGTATTTAACATGTTTGGTAGTAAGGTGGAATGAGAATGGTTACTAATAGTAGTGCTTGAGAATGAACAAGGGAATGAAACCCTTGTTTTATTTGGGTATGAGTTTTTCAATTGATGGGGTATTCGAAACCCATTATAGTGTTCTAAAAATTGGCATTTAGCCTTGCCTACTAACCCATTGAGTCACCGTGATTTACATCCTCCCACATGCTCTGTCGGGTCGAAGTATGGGGGGCCCTTAAGGCTGGGAATTCAGCCTTTTGGGATAAGTGTTCTAAAAACCTACCAACCAAATAATAACAATCACTTTCATGCCCATTCCCATGAGCAAAACCCATCAAATTATCAAATACTTGTAATAAGGTTCAAATACAGAATATATTATAAATTAGAATACAATGATAGTTAGAGACGACGGAGCTAAAAATATATTTGAGTAGACTAAATTTTAAAAATCCTATAAAAATATTTATGACAAAATATGTAACACAATCAATTATAGAAAATAGTTTGAATAAAAAAGACAATATATATATATATATATATATATATATATATATATATATATAAACTTGAATGCCTATAGTTGGGCCATTGGGTTGGGCCTATAGTTGAAAATAACAGTTTCCGCTTTGATAGATAGTCAATCGTGAAATCGTGGAGCAGAATCGTTGACCCTGGTTCAATACACATTATTTAACTTCATAATGTATAGAATTTATATTTATAATGTATAAAATTTATGTTCATAATACACATACATATCTACTATATATATCTCTACATCTCTACATCTCTACAAATCTTTACATCTTTTCTTTACATTTTTACAAATACAAATCTAATAAGAGCGAATAATGTTAGGCCCTTAACTGGAACAAAAAAAATGTCGATACTAATTATTTTTTAAAATGAATGATTCATATTATTTTGATTTTAGTATCTTTTAATGATTTTCCTTATTTACCCTCTATTATATTATTTTCTTTTCTTAAATAACCCTAAATTCCGTTAGTTTAAACTTTAGTAACGGAATATTCCGTTAACTATTTATTATTCTTAACATACTCTTAATTTATATAAGGTCTTAGGTTCGAACCTCATCCCAAGTATAATTAGCATAATTGTTATTTGTTAAACATATATTATGAATATGTTAAAATGTATTAAAAAAATATTCATTATAAAAAAAATTAAAAGAAATATAATTTCATTAGTCATATTATCTTTATTTTCTACAATTCAAAGATTCTTTACCTTCAAATTTATTAATTTATTATATTCACTACATTGTTCATTGTCTTATTTTTTACATTATCTTGTAATTAAATATCAATGTTATAATCCAAAACATATTATATTATATTATATTATATTATATATATATATATATATATATATATATATATATATTTATTTATTTATTTATTTATTTATTTATTTACCAAGTATTTTATACAAATATAATAAATATTAATATTTTGTTCAATACTTTTACATGATAACCTACGACACACATCTCACAACACATGAAACATGTAAGGAAAAAACTATCACTACTAAATATCAATAAGTATTTGTACGCTAAAGAGTTCATATTGCAACTAAAATCTCAGTCATATACACAGCAAGTCAAATCTAAAATTTCTTACACCATAATCTCATTGCATGATGAATCCCTCTATGCTGCTACCAGTAACCTAATTGCACATGACACACTACCAATAAAAAAAAAAAAAAAAAAAAAAAAAAAAAAAAAGGACATGTACTGAAGATAAAAACAATAACAATGCTACCCAAAAGAGAATTAAGAAGAATTATAGAAATTTAAACCAAAAGTACTATTTATTTAGACTATCGCTTTAAGACTAAGTATTTAGACTAACGTTATTATAAAGTTACAAACATTTAATTTAGTGACAATTATAATCAATCTCTCATATATTATCTTGCATTTATATACTTTAAATTACCGATTTAAATAAACAAATTTAACATTTATTTACCTATGCATGAACATCTCCTATATAATATTGCATTGATATACTTTGAAGTACTTAAAAATAATTATTAGGCATTATCCCATTCGCGCAAAACGCGTAAAAAAACTAGTCTACTATACTAATAAGAGCCCAAGAGAGTTAGGCCTATAATGGGTAGAAAAAATGGCGGTCACAGATTTTAATCAAATAAATGGCTCAGATTGATTAAAAGATTGATAAGATTTAAATTTTACACTAAAATTTCCTAAAATACCCACACACCGTTACTAATTCCGTTAAAATTTTAAGAATTGACATTAGTTCACCGTTAACTTACTCATTGATTTCAATAAAAAAAAAAAAAAAAGATCTTAGGTTCGAACCTCATCCCAATCAAAGTTGGCATAATTAGTACAATTTTAAGAATTGTCGTTAGTTCACCGTTAACTTACTCATTGATTTCAATAAAAAAAAAGGTCTTAGGTTCGAACCTCATCCCAATCAAAGTTGGCATAATTAGTACTCTATTTTACTCTTATTAAATTATATAAATAATAATTTAGTAGCTACAACAAAAAATTATAGATATGCATTTCTTTAATTTAGAATTATGTGTTTACAATGCCTTTATTCAAAAAAAATTATTCATTATCAATAAATTAAATAAGAGAAATAATTGTATTAGTTATATTGTCTTTATTTTTCTACAATATAAAAATTCTTTATATTCAAATTTATTAATTGATTATATTCGCTACATTGTCCTTACTATGTCTTAATACAGTGAAAAAAATTATTCATTATCAATAAATTAATTAAGAGAAATATTTTCATTAGTTATATTGTCTTTATTTTTCTCAAATGTAAAAATTTTTACATTCAAATTCATCAATTGATTATATTCACTACATTGTCTATTATCTTTTTTGTGCACTATTTTTCTAATTAAATATCAAAGTTATAATACAAAATAATGCTATATATTTATTTACCAAGTATTTTATTAATACCATGAAAAAATTAAAAAAATATATAATTAATAAAGCCAACCATATTAACTACTTGAGAGATTTTGTGACAAAGAGAGTATTCAAATCACACAACAAATTGAAGTGAGAACTTCCTTGCAATGTCCTTGTTTGACAATCAACAGTTAGCGCGCGGATTATATTAGCGGATTTGACCAACGAATTTATTTAATTATTAACATTGGGTAGAAAAATGACCGCCAAATTATTAAATCAAATGAATGGTTCAAATTGTTCAGGTTTTATTTTTTTAAAAATTTTTTTCTAATTTATCCTTAATTATATGATTATTCATTTAACTTTTCCGTTAAATAGCGTTAATTCACCGTTAGTCTAATTATAATATTAACGTCTTCATCCCAAATGCTCTGTCGGGCCGGAGTGTGGGGGGCCCTTAGGGTTGGGGTTCAGCCTTTTGGAAGAATAATATTAACGTC